GATGGTATTCTCATTTAAGTGGGTGACCATAGATGTTGGGGAAACGAAGGCACAGTCTCTCTGTGGGGTGTTAGGTGTGGGTGGCAGCAAATGATTGTGGCAGGTATAGTAGAACGGTCAAATTGGTCAGGACGGTCACATTGGTCAGGCATTTTCTGGTTTGTTTTTTGAGACAGGGTTTCTCTGTGTAGCCCTGGCTGTCCTGGAACTCGCTCTGTAGACCAGGCTGGCTTCGAACTCACAGAGATCCTCCTGCCTCTGCCTTCCCAGTGCTGGGATTAAAGGCGTGCGCCACGAGGCCCTGCTGTTAGGCATTTTCTAATCTTGCTATAAGTCTTTTTTTTTTTTTTAACTCCAGGTTCGGGAGGAAGCGTGGAGCGGGGTCCGCTCGGCACAGGGTTCGGGGTTCACAAGTGCCGTTTGTCCATCTAGCAGCCCAGTTATTGCCCAACAAGATGTGACTTTCTCCATCCTCAGCCAAGCCCGTGCCCAACTGCAGCCCACCCTCCTTCTGCTTCAGCCCAGAAGCAAGGTCAGAGGCCTGAGCTCCACGTTTTAACTTGACCAGCATTTAATTAGGAATATTTCTAATGGGCCAACTCCTGTGCTCTCTGCAGAACCCCAGTCTAAAACACCCACCTCTAGGAATCCTTGGGAATTTTCTAAGCAGCTCTGTGACTCCGGGCTGGGCTTGGGGCTTCTGCCCTCCTGAATCTTGCCATTAGCCCAGCCCCGGCTACAGCAGGGGGCGTCTCTCTGGCAAAGCCAGGCCCCAAGTTTGGGGGAGGGGTGGCTCCCCCATGTTCTTAGGGAGAAAATGATTGCGTGTGCGCGCGCGCGTGTGCGTGGTTCTCTCTCCCTGCCAAGCCTGGCGGGGAGCTGGGGCTCAGAGGTCACCCGCGAGCCCAGGGCCAGCAGGAGGGGGCCGGCCTGGCTGGTGGCCCAGAGGCTCAGCTGGGGGCGCGGGAGGGGGAGGCTGGCGCTGCCGGGAGCCAAAGGCTTTGGCCTCCCTGAGGGAGCCGCTCTCCCGGCCCGGGTCGGATCAATGGGCTGTAATTATACCGCGCCGGGCCGGGAGCCGGCAGGGAGGGAGCGGGAGCGGGCGAGCGGGAGGGGCGCGGGCTGCGGGGACCCACGTTACTTTGATTGACAGCCCGAGCGACGCGGCGCGCGGGCGCTGCTGGGACTCGTAGTTTCCCGGCCTAGACCGCTCGCTCGCCTCTCTGCTCACAGTCTCCCCGGCGGTAAACCCAGGCACGCCCAGGGGGTGCCGCCTCCCAACTCCCTGTAAGCCCATCCCACCACCACCCGCGATTCGACCGGTTAAACGAAATAAACCCGGGGCGCGGGCTGGGATTAGAAAAAAAAACAATGTCAGCCATTTCCTCAGCATCCAAGGTGCCTTCGTTACTCTTTGCCTCAGTTTACCTATTTCCAAAAAAGGCCAAAGGGCGCTTTGTCTGCCAAGCATGGCAAGGCAGTCACCGAAGCGAGGAGCTTATTTATTTATTTTTGGTTTTTTCAGACAGGCTTTCTTTGTATTGTTTTGGAGGCTGTCCTGGAATTCTCTCTGTAGACCAGGCTGGTCTCGAACTCACAGAGATCCACCTGCCTCTGCCTCCCGAGTGCTGGGATTAAAGGCATCATGTGCCACCACCGCCCCCGCGAGGGGCTTATATACATACATACATACATACATACATACATACATACATACATAATATAGTTTAAATACAAAATGCTTCGCCTGAAGGTGGTGGCCCAGCCTTTACTCCCAGCACTCGGGAGGCAGAGGCAGGCGGATCTCTGAGTTCGAGGCCAGCCTGGTCTACAGAGCGAGTTCCAGGACCCTGTGTCAAAAACAAAACAAAAGTTTCTCGAGAACAGAACCCACGTTGGTGTGCACCTGGCAAGCATCCTCCTGCCTCAGCTTCTCCAGTGCCGGGATAGCAGGGATCCGCCACCACGTTCTGCTTAGAGGGGCTTTTATTTTCAAAGGGGATCCCGATGCTCAGGGACCACCACGCGGGTCCCCGCGCTCTCCGGGCGGGAGGGGGCCGCCCCGCGTCCCCAGCTCTCAGGGAGCTTTCCTATTGGCGCAGCCCGGCCCACCGCCTCCTGCTATTGGCTGCCGGGGACATGGCGCTCATTGGCCAGCGCGCAGAGTGACGTCAGAGGCCCACGTGGATGCTGCGGGAGCCGATTGGCTGGCGCGCCCGGCCACCCGCGGCGGCGATAGGCCGGTCCCGGCAGCGGGCGGCCAGTCTGATTTAAGGTGGACCGGGCAGTCGGCGCGCCTGCCCCCAGGCTCAGCCTTTTCCTCGTCTCTGGTTTTGGGGAGTCGCCCAGACAGGGGCGCGCTGAGAGCCACCGAGCCCCACTTTGCAGAGGGGGGATGAGAGGGTGGAGACTCCGCGGCGCCCCCCGCTTCCCGGGGGACCCCCGATCGCATTGCCCGCTCCCGCGGAGGCGGGGAGCCTATGCCTTCCCGGGACGCACAGCTTCCTCCAGGAAGTCCCCTCGGGTTCCCGGGGCTCCCCCTGACCTGGTGTCCTTCTCAGCTGTGGGGAGGCTGCGGAAGGTGGCCCCGGACCCGTCTTTGACTTCAGGGGGAGGGGATTCCAGGAAGTGCGAGCCCCAGAGAAAATCCCCGAGCCACAACTCAAATTAGGTCACCTGGGATAGGGAGCCGCGCAGGTTGTACCGGGTGGGAGTACCCGGGCTGAGGGTCACTAGAAGGAAGGGTGCTGCCTAGGTGTGGGAGCGGGGGCGGGGCCGAAAGGACTCCTGGGTAAGCGAGGTGACACACAGGCGACCCTGACTCCCCAGGAGAGGCTGAGGCCACCTTGGCCTACCAATAGCAAACAGGCTTGGTTTGGGGAGCCGGCGCAGGGACAGGAGATACTGGAGCCCAGTCCGCCTGGGCACAGGGTGGGGGACATAGTGTTTTCTCAGACTCCCAAGGAATCAGGAGTGTGCTCGGGATTTCTGGAGTGTTCTTCGATCTTGCTCCCTTGTCCCCTTTAATTTTGAGCCAGGCCCTGGGCATGGGGGTGTGGCTCGGTCCTGACAGCCTAGGCAGGGACACTTCTCTTCTCGGGGACAGAACTACCTGCAAGGCGAAATGAGCAGTAAGGAGGAAACCAGTGTGGCAGAACCAGACTGAGGAGCAAGAAGATGTGTTCAGACAGCAGGTGCTAGGTTCTCAACCTGAGGGTCCGACCCCCGTGGGGTCGCCTGAGATCACCAGGAAACACAGATATCTGCATTACGATATAAAAAGTCCAAGAGTACAGCTATGAAGTAGCAACGCAATAGTTTTATGGTTGGGGTCACCACTGCACGAGGAGCTGTTTTAAACGGTTAGCAGGATCAGGAAAGTGGAGAACCACAGAGCTAAAGATGTTTCCGGGGCTCCAGGAGAGGTTCGCTGGGGAGAATCTGAGTGGTGGGAATGGAGGAGACTGTTCCTCTGCGGAAGGGACGGAAGGGACGGAAGGGATGGAAGGGACAGAAGGGACAGAAGGGACGGAAGGGACGCTGCACTGTGCAGAATCTGCAAAGGCCCAGGGGATGGATTGGTCTGAGATGTTGGAGAGCATGGGGGTCCAGATATTGAGGGTGATCCACCCCGACCATGCTCCCAACCCCTCACTGGGGGGTTCTAGGCCGGGCTCCACCCTGACCAAACCCCAGCCCTTCACTGGGGGATTCTAGGTGGGGATGGGCGTTGGGGGCGCTGAGTGCTATCCTTTTGGGTCTTCCTGTCACTTCCTGGCTCCCCACCCCCACCCTCCTGACTTTTTAAGGCTCCATCACATGTGACACCAATGGCTCCTGTCTGTTCCTTTCTGTCATCGTTTGTCTAAAGTCTTGCTTTGCACACGCAGTTCCTGACCAGCCAACTGTGATCTTGGCTGGTGGCGGCTCATCTCCCAGAGTCTGTCCTTTTATCCTGGAAGTCCTGTGTCTCAGCTAACATCCTCCCGCTGCAGAATCTCCTAAAGGCCCTCGTGCCCTGTAGTTGGCTTAGCTGTCCACAGAGGCTCAAATGTTAATATGAATGAGGGGTCTTTTCCCATGACCGCCGTTGCCCCGTTTCCTAGGGCATATGGCCACAGTAGCACCAGGCATATGCATATGCTTATACATTGGCTTAATGATGGAGCAGATCTGAGGTTTCTTCTCTGTGAAATGGGGTAGGAGCTCTCTTGTTCTGACAGTTGGAAACAGGGCCCTTGGGAGGGATTCCCTGGTGGCAAGTGGGTTCTCAGTTCTGGGAGACTCAGCTTGATGGCAGAGCTGAGCCCGACGGCACAGGCCTGATGTCGCAGCTACTATAAGTCCTGATACATGAGGATCCCAGACCCACATTTTGCCTGGGGAACTTACCCAGACCTCATCTCCAAAAGCAAAAGGAGGGTTGGAGCCTAGAATTCCCGAGTGAGAGGCTGGGGGTGTGGTCAGGGGAGAAGACCCCAACCTCCAGTGAGAGACTGAGCCCTGCCAAGATGTTCTGGTATCCAGGTTCGATCCCCAGACCTAAGTTTCTGTGTACTAATTTAAGGGGTCTAGTCCGCTTGGGCCCCATCTGACCAGAGGAGGCCACCCAGGGGGCTGGTGGTGGTCCCAGCATGCACCTTCACCCCTGATGCTCTGTGAGATCCCGACAGCTGGGCAGCACTGGCTGGCGAGCATAGCCGGGGGCTGCCTTTCCTGGGATCGGTGTGTGTCTCTGCTTCGTGTTTGGGGGTTCCATCCGGTGTTAACTGGCTCAGGGAAGACACTTGCAACCCCCAGGGCTCCCGGAGTGTGCAAGGAGATTTTTTTTCTCTTTCATTCTTTTTTCTCCCGTGGGGGTGGGGCTAGAACACTAGGCTCTAACTCAAGCCTCAGTTTCCCCAGCGGGTCTGGGAGCCAAGGAGGCAGACCGGTGCCACCTTAAGACGGGTCCCGCCCGCGGCTCCCAGCCGAGCCCTGCGGAGAGAGGCGGCTCCGCAGCTACCGCGGCCACCGGCCACCAGCGCCGACCCCGGGCGGCAGCCACGGACCTGCGGCGCGGGCTGCAGCTGCTCCTGGGCCAGACGACCCGGGCGCGCTGGCGGGAGGTGGGGCGCAGCGCGGGGTCCGGATCCCCTGCCCCCGGCAGGCTCTCCCTGGCTGCTCTTTCTTTGCATGAAAATCCCTCCCCCCAGCTCAGGCTTCTCTCCCAGCTTTTCCAGCTTCAGTGTCGCCGCACCCCAGCTCTACATTAGCGCCCCAAATTCTACCCTCAGCTCCGCCCACCACCCCGCGTTCTACTCCCAGCCTCAGCTTTGCACCCCAGCTTCCCTCTTGCCACATCCCCAAGCTTCCACGAAGCTGGGGTGCCCCGTCTCCCATCCGTCCATCAGCAGGATGTACCCCCAGGGAAGGCACCCGGTGAGTATGGACACCCTCATCTCTGGTTGCAGGAGGGGAGGACGAGGAAGGGGACCCCTGCCTGCTGGTGCCCAGAACTCACCCCCCGCCCCCCCCCACCGTGTCCTTCCCCTCGATCCCCTCAGACCCCGCTGCAGTCCGGCCAGCCTTTCAAGTTCTCAGTCCTGGAAATCTGTGACCGGATCAAAGAGGAATTCCAGTTTCTCCAAGCTCAGTACCACAGGTGAGGGGCCCCAGCTCTGGGCACTGGGAGGCCCCCCGGGGGCGGGGCCCTATGGAGGGGGCGTGGTCTCCGGGGCAAGGAGAGAGGTTCACTGGGAGGGCTTCCTGGTGGAGATAGCGCTCCCAAGGTGAAGTGAGTGGGTTCTGGGAAAACCTTCACTGAGGAAGGGTTTGATCCCACCCAGCAAGGTAGGCCTGGGGTCACCAGGGCTGGAGACAGTTTCTAAAGAAGTGTGGGGTGGGCAGGCAGCCCCTACCTGTCACTGTGCAAACCGACCTTTGTGGGGTGTCCAATCTTCCTGCCCAGCCTCAAGCTGGAGTGTGAGAAGCTAGCCAGCGAGAAGACAGAGATGCAAAGGCATTACGTGATGGTAGGAGTCCCCGCCCTTGCTGCCCCCACCCTCGTGTTCTCCCTAAAGAGGGTAGCCTGGGGTATCGGGGGCTATTTCTATGGGTGCCCTCCTCCCCCCAATCTTGGACACTTGTCGGGTCTCTCTGAGCCCAATGCCTCCTGGGTCCCCGTTTGGGTCTCCAAGGGTCTCATGCGTCCATGTGTCGCCCTGAAATCCCCACCCCCGGGGCTGGAGCAAGACTCCGTGTCCCCAGGGTGGGTCAGCTGTCCACGCTGGCTAGTGCTGTCTCCTTTGCAGTACTACGAGATGTCCTACGGCCTCAACATTGAGATGCATAAACAGGTGAGCGCTTGGAGTCAGGGTTGTGTGAAGGGATGAGGCACTCCTGTGAGGGCAGAGGTCGTTCTGAGACGCCTCTGGCGGTGCCAAGGCCAGGGAAGAGAGTTTAGTCTTGTAGCATCTAGGGACAGTGGCCTGAGCGCGAACAGTAGACCGAGTGGAGTGTCCCCATGGACGGGGCCTGGGCTGTAGGCCAAGGGGGTTTTGGAGGCAACTTCCATCTCAGCAGGGACTCCATCGCAGAACCAAATCTGCAGTTGCATGATAGATCCCTGAGAGTCTGTGGTGGACCCCAGGAACCCAGGAGCCTTCAAGGAACCCTGGCATCCTGTGAGGGACCTTGGGACCCTGGGAGCCTGGGGGCCTGTGATACACCCCGGAGTCTGTTGGCATTTGTGTCTGAGCCTGATGAGAGCTTGGGGGCCTGGACGACAGTTGTCTATGTGTTTGGCCCGCTGCCGTGGCTCAGCCTGGTTCTGTGTTTTGGAGACAGACCACAGAGTTTGTGTCTGTCTCTGAGGGTTCTGAGATGGACTCCTAGGCTGTGAGGTTCAGTCTCTTCCCCACTAGGAGTCTGAATGTGGGCCTAGGTTCTCAAATGGTCCTCAGGGTTCTGAGGTGGAGTTCAAAGTTCTGAGCTATCCTGAAGGTTCTGAGCTAGCCCTGAAGGTTTGGAGCTAGCCCTGGAGGTTTGGAGCTAGCCCTGGAGGTTTGGAGCTAGCCCTGGAGGTTCTGAGCTAGCCCTGGAGGTTTGGAGCTAGCCCTGGAGGTTTGGAGCTAGCCCTGGAGGTTTGGAGCTAGCCCTGGAGGTTTGGAGCTTGCCCTGAAGGTTCTGAGCTAGCCCTGGAGGTTTGGAGCTAGCCCTGGAGGTTCTGAGCTAGCCCTGGAGGTTTGGAGCTAGCCCTGGAGGTTTGGAGCTAACCCTGGAGGTTCTGAGCTAGCCCTGGAGGTTTGGAGCTAGCCCTGGAGGTTCTGAGTTAGCCCTGGAGGTTTGGAGCTAGCCCTGGAGGTTCTGAGCTAGCCCTGAAGGTTTGGAGCTAGCCCTGGAGGTTTGGAGCTAGCCCTGGAGGTTTGGAGCTTGCCCTGAAGGTTCTGAGCTAGCCCTGGAGGTTTGGAGCTAGCCCTGGAGGTTCTGAGCTAGCCCTGGAGGTTTGGAGCTAGCCCTGGAGGTTTGGAGCTAACCCTGGAGGTTCTGAGCTAGCCCTGGAGGTTTGGAGCTAGCCCTGGAGGTTCTGAGCTAGCCCTGAAGGTTTGGAGCTAGCCCTGGAGGTTCTGAGGGCTCTGGGTTCTGAGATATAATGCTCCAGGTTATGAGGTTAACTCCATGAGCTCCTGAGGCTCCAGTGTGTGGCATTGGGGTTCTGAGATGTACTCTGTTGTGAAGATTGACCCCAGAGGTCCACAGCCAACAAACAGACCTGTAGATGAATGGATTCATAGATTGTGCCCCCGAAGACCTAAGATCCTACGGCAGAGCCCCACACTTTGCTCCCTGTGCGCTGGGGGCACTGGGGGCCGGCCTGCATGTGTCCCTGGATTTCTGTGGGTTTCAGTGCTGATATGGGCAGCAGAGGGCTGGTCCCCTGGTCCCAAGTGGACGACGAGGCCTGGTGGGGTCCAGAGGCAACCACAGGTCACCCCCAAAGGCTTGAGAGCTGGTGCACTCTAGCTGGGCAGGCACATGCTTCACACACCTTCTCTGGGGTGTCTTTGGGACACCCAGGCTTAGACAGTGACTGCAGTGCCTGGGGATCTGCATCTCTGAGGGCTTCACAGGGACAGAGGAGCGGGGTGTAATGCTCAGGACTCTGGGGGTCGGGGTGGTAGAGCTGGCTGTCTCCTCCAATCCATCCACCTTGTCTCTAGGCCGAGATTGTAAAGAGGCTCAGTGCGATCTGCGCCCAGATGGTCCCGTTCCTCACACAGGAGGTAAGTGCGCCTGCGCAGAGAGTGGGGAAGGGGCAATATGGCAAGGCCTTGTAGAAACGGAGGCCACAGTGAAGGGACCATCGACCCTGACTGAGGGCACGGACCAGGGACTTTCTGCTCTTCATGTGTCTGCATGCGAGTGTGTGAGGAGGTCAGAGGTCAGCCTCAGTGGCCTTCCCCAGGTGCCATCCGCCTTCTTTTGCTTTTATTGCAGTTTTATGTGTTTATTTAGTTGTATGTGTCTGGGTGTTTTGCTGCATTCTTGTCTGTGTACCGTGTGTGTGCAGTACCTGCAGAGGCCAGAAGGAGGCATAAGGTCACCAGAACTGGACCCACAGCGGTTGAGAGCCACCATGTGGGTGCTGGGGACCAAACCCGCGTCCTCTCCCGGAGCAGCCTGTGCTGTTAACCACTGCGCCAACCTGATTTTTATGTTTTAGGAGGGAGTGCGGGGGCCATAGCAAACACGTGGAGGTCAAAGGGCGACTTTTGGGAATGGGTCCTCTCCTCCACAGCATGTGGTTTTCAAGGGCTGAACTAAGGGCATAGGACTTGGCTGCAGTCGTCTTCACCCACTGGGCCATCTTGCCACCCCACCCCTTGTATAGATTCTGGCCTGGAAGTTTGCTGCGCTGGGGATGCTGTCGCGCCTGTGAGCGCCGGCGTCCCCCGGTCTCCTTGCCATGCTGGAATCACAGGTGCATACCACCACGGTTGGCTTTTTCACAGGGGTCTTGGGGAACCAAACTCGGGTCTGCATGGTTGCACACAAGCCCTCAGCCGTTCCTCTGATTCTGGCTCTGCGCTGGGCGGTTAGATAGAGGTGCGCGTGTACCCTACTGCTCACAGGCCTGCTCTGTGCCACCTTAGGCAGGGTACATGCCTCTCTGTGCTTACCTCCTGCTTAGGGTACCCTGATATCTTGGTAAGATGGGCCACACACAGGACACACGGTCTCCACCCCTGAGTCAGCAGATCCGGGTCAGGAAGCGGGACCTGGGGAGAGAACAGGACCCAACTCCAGAGTGGGGAGTTGGGAAATGGCCGGGAAAGTAGCGCGGCCCGGTAAATAGGCTGCAGGCTGCTGAGCCAGGTGCTTGAAATAGTTCAGAGTAAATTTTGTTAGGTGTTCCTAGTATAGTGATTTTGAAAACCGAGTCAGCGTGGACAGAGGGGACCCGTGCAGACAGCTCACTGAAACATCCGAAAGCCCTGTGGCATGGGGACCCTGGGCTGTGAGACCCAGGGTCAAAACAGGGTAGAAGACAACCAATACCTACCTCTGTCCCCACATGCAGAGAGACAGAGACAGAGAGACACAGAGACACAGAGACAGAGAAAGACAGGGAGACAGAGAGACAGACAGAGACAGATAGAGAGACACTCAGAGACAGACCGAAAGAGAAACAGAGACAGAGACACACAGTGACAGAGAGACAGAGAGAGACAGACAGAGACAGAGGGACACTCAGAGAAACAGAGACAGACACACAGTGACAGAGGGACAGAGAGACAGAGAGACAGACAGAGACAGAGAGACACTCAGAGAAACAGACAGACACACAGTGACAGAGGGACAGACAGAGACAGAGAGACAGAGAGACACTCAGAGAAACAGAGACAGACACACAGGGACAGAGAGACAGACAGAGACAGAGAGACAGGCTGGGCTGAGGACCCTGCATCCCACTCAGAGCCCCTCCACCCGCAGCATCAGCAGCATGTTCTCCAGGCTGTAGACCGAGCCAAGCAGGTGACCGTGGGGGAACTGAACAGCCTCCTGGGGGTGAGTCACCCCAGCCCGCCGCCTCGGGGGTCCCCGATGTGCCCTCAGCCCACCCTTGTCCCCGCCACTCGCCCTCCGCCCCCTGGCCATCCTCTCCCCCTTCAGCAGCAGAATCAGCTCCAGCCGCTGTCCCATGCCCCCCCTGCGCCCCTCACCCCGCGCCCCGCCGGCCTGGTGGGCACCGGGGCCTCGGGACTGCTGGCCCTGTCCGGGGCGCTGGCTGCACAGGCCCAGCTGGCGGCTGCAGCCAAGGAAGACCACGTGGGCGTGGACACAGAGGGCTCCAGAGGTGAGTGGGTGGGCCCTGGTGACGCTTGCAGGGTAAGGGATAGTAGGGGCTGCGGCCCTGGGGCTCAGGTTTCCTGCTGTGTGTCCTTGAGAACACCACTAGCCCTCTCTGGGCCTCTCCCTGGGAGGGCTCTGAGCTTGGAAGGGAATGTCCGTGCACCTTGGGGTCCAACCCCTAATTCTGTCTGTTTTCTCTCGGCTTCCTGCTATCCGCTAGTGGACAGAGCGGCGAGCAGGGTGAGTTCACGTGGGCTGGCGGTAGTGGCTGTGGGGGGCGGGGCATGGAACGCCAGAGCCACCCCACCAGGTGTACAGAGTGCTGGGGCTGGGACCCAACCGGGGCCTGGTGGAGACAGAGGCCACTCTGCAGCCCCCAGCGGCCTGTAGTTCTGGGTTAGAACTGTATTCCACCAAGCCAGCTGTTAATTTAATTTATTTAAGGCACAGTCTTGCTTTGTAACCCACGTTGCACTGAGCTCATGGCAATCCCTCTGCCTCAGTTTCTCAAGTTCTACTATAATGGGTGTGCCTCAGCAAGACCGGCCAGGGTCTTCATGCGGGCAAACTCCTTGCTTGGCTCAGGCCTTGTCTGAGGGTTTACGTACCCCACTCTCAAGGGGTTGGGTATGGGTGTTGGGCGGATTACAAGTCACTGTAGTGCCTTTTTTGTGTGTGGTTTTTCGAGACAGGGTTTCTCTGTGTAGCTTTGGAGCCTGTCCTGGAACTCACTAGCCTCAAACTCACAGAGCTCCGCCTGCCTCTGCCTCCCCAGTGCTGGGATTAAAGGAGTGCGCTGCCGCCACCACCACCAGACCTGTTTGCATTTTTATGGGACTCAGTTTCCCCCATCTAAACAGAGCCAGAGAATTTAGTACTGGGGTGTGGTCAGGGCAGAGCCCCACCTAGAATCCAGAGTGTGGGGGCTGGGGGTGTGGTCAGAACGGAGCCCCACCTAGATTTCCCCAGTGGAGTGCTGGGGCGTGGTCATTGTGGAGCTCCGCCCCCCAGTGAGAGGCCCTCGGTATTGGCTGGACAAGAATGTAGCTTGAGAATCCATCTCGTGCCCTTTACCCCTTCTGGTCTCCTCGCAGAGTGCTTCCCCCTCCCCGCCGGAGAGTCTGGTGGAAGAAGACTGTCATAGCGGCCGAGGTGGCAATGGGAAGCCACAGAGAACAGAAGACAAGGACCTCTCAGGGCCTTATGTGAGTTCATGAGAGGGAAGCAGCGTCTGGGGTGGACAGAGATGGACCCGGACTCGCCCCTGAGCAGACTCTTGGGAAATGTCCGTGATGCTCAGTCTATCGTCTTCTGTAGCCTCGCATTGCATGTGGAGCACCTGACAGTCAAAACACTGCCCTGCCAGGCCAGGCTTCACTGCTAAGAGTCTGCAGCCAGTGGGGCATACATCTCCACCATGAGCTGAACTGCGGGTATTGCTCAGAGAGGTGGAGCCCCGCTTAGAATCCCCCAGTGATGGCTGGGGGCGTGGTCAGGGTGGAGCCCCGCCTAGAGTCCCCCAGTGAGGGGCTGGGGGCGTGGTTAGGATGAGCCCCTCCTAGAGTCCCCAGCAAGGGGCTGGTGCCTTGGCTTAGAGACAGAGGGCTCCCACGAGACTCTAAGTGCCTCCCTGAGCAGCACCAGGGGTAGTGAGCTTGGGAGGGAAGCCAGGACAGTAGTTCTGTAGGATTTAGTTCAAGTGGCGTCCTGGGCTCTTCCCTGCATACCCAAGTGTGATCGTCGTTTTGTCGTGTCAGGAAAGGCATTTTCAGCATCTGGGGTTGAAGCAGGAACTTGGTGTTCCTCCAGAGGGCAGAGGGAGCCGGAGAAAGTCATAGAGCAGAAGTAGTGAGGATTCAGAGCGCCTCCCTGGGCGAGGATGGTCAGGCTTCCTGAAGGCAGCAGCCCTGGATGTAGGGAGGTGGTCAGAGATGGGCAGACAGACCTGCCTGAGAGATCAGCGTGTCCAGTCGAGGGAAAAGAGGGCTGGGCCTGGTGTGCAGGCAGAGACATGACAGGCTGTTGTCTGCCCCCAGGAAAGCGATGAAGACAAGAGCGACTATAATCTGGTGGTGGATGAGGTGAGTTGTTGGCGCCGGAGGGGGGGAGAGAATCCGTGTCCGTCTCCCGGACAGTCGCTGGCTGCAGCACACTCTGAGACCGACAGTGGAGACAGGCTGCCGGTTTCCTCGACTTCAGACTCCCCAGCAGTGAGGCCGAGCCTCTCCCCTCGAGGAGGCTACCCCGTCAGCTGTGGAGTGTGTGGGGTCACATAGCCACTGTGGAGGTTTTTCTCTCTTCACTCACTCCCCACTCAATGTCCCCTTCTTGAACTCAGGACCAACCCTCAGAGCCACCCAGCCCTGCGACCACCCCCTGTGGAAAGTCGTCCCTCTGCACGGCTGCCCGAAGGGACCTAGCCGATAGCCCAGCCTCCTTGGCCTCCAGTTTGGGCTCACCACTCCCCAGAGGCAAAGACCTAGCCCTGGTAAGGAAGGTGGGGGGTGTGAACCTCACTCTGTTCACTCTGGGGTGCAGTCAAGGGATCAGCCAGGCTGGGGCAGTCTAGATTCCTCATTTGCTTTTGTTTGCTTGCTTTTGGTTTTTGTTTGCTTGGCTTTGTCTGTTGGTTTTTGGTTTTGTTTTGTTTCTGAGGCAATATTTCTTGACCGCCATCTCTTCAGATAGTCTAGGATGGCATTGAATTCCTGCTCTTCCTGTCTCTACTTCTCCAGTACCACACCTGACTTTTTCCCGTGATTCTTTGGGCCCCCCAGATTTTTTTCCCAGAAGACTCTGCTGAAACAGAGTTAAAAGCAACTTGGAAACATTTTAAAAGCAACTTGGTGATGGAGTTGGGCAAAGAAAGAGGACTGAGTTGGGTCACTCTCTTCCTGCAATGGTGCAACATGGCCCCCAGCACTGGTCAGAGTGCTCCTGGAATCCCGCAGAGGCTCCCTTCCCCTGCCCCAGATGTCCCCAAAGCCCCTCTTGGGTTCCCTCCTGGGTCTTGCCCAGACCTTCTGCCCTCCACTTTACCTGGGGTGAGAAATGATCCTGGCCTTCCTGGACCCTGCAGGTTGCCAAGGCAACTGGCAGCAGTTGTGGGGTCCCTTGTTATCTAATCCCCTCCCCACCCAGGGAGACCTTGGGAGTGCAAGGTAGTGTTAGCTGGCTGGAGAAGCCTCCAAGGGCATCTCTCAGCCCACCAGGGTCACCAGAGGATGGCAGTCAGCTCAGGGCTAGCCAAGGCTACCTGAGCCCTGTTTCCCAAAACATGCCTCCTGAAAGCGGAGGCCTGACTGGCGGTCCCTTCACGTCTCCCCTGGGGCCCTAGTGATAGACGTGGTGATGTGTTCCCCTGGGGCTGAGGACCTCTGGGACCGAAGGACCCACTGTTCTGGTCACCTGTAAGCTTCTTAGTTTTTTGAGACATGGTCTCACTATGTACTCAAGGCTGGCCTGGAACTCACAGAGATCCCCCTGCCTCTGCTTTAAAGTGCTGGGAATAAAGGCTGCGCCACACATAGCCCAGCCTCTAAGTTAAAACATTTTTTGTTTTGTTTTGTTTGAGACAGGGTGTCTCTGTAGCCTGGCTGTCCTGGAGCTCACTCTGTAGGCCAGGCTGACCTCGAACTCACAAAGATCTGTGTGCCTCTGCCTCCCCCTGGGCTCCCAGTGAACACTTAGAAAAAAAAACTGTGTTCCCCGGGCGGTGGTATTGAACGCCTTTAATCCCAGTACTTGGGGCAGAGGCAGGTCAAGGCGGCGAGTCTGTGTCCCCTCTGCCATGTGGGTGTTAGAGACTGCGCAGACCGTCAGGCTTGGCTGCGGCCACCTCACCTACTGAGCCATCCTGCAGCCTAATCGCCTCTGAATTTGTCACTATCTCTGGGTGGCACATTGCTGTCCCCAAAGTCCCCACCTCTCTGCATGTACCCTGTACTGTGGCCCAGTTCACCACACTCACACTGCTGAGTGTGTATTTGCACCATGCCTGCCCCCCCCTCCCCTCCCCCCCCCTCCCCGCCCCAGCGTGGTTTGGCTGCATGTGCACTGAGTGCCTGAGACATGAGCTGCTCATCGTCTCCTCCTTCTCCACAGAATGATCTTCCAGCAGGCACTCCTGCCTCCAGGTCATGTGGTCCCTCTCCATCCCAGGATGCGTCCACTCCAGGACCCAGCTCTGCCGGTCACCTCTGTCAGCTGGCCGCTCAGCCGGCGCCACCCACAGACAGCATCGGTGAGTCCCTGCCTGCCCGGCATAGACCCCCCAGAATAGATAGGATGAGAGGAGGGGCATTGGCGGCTCAGCCTTTAACCCCAGCACTCGAGAGGAGAGGCAGGCGGGTCTCTGTGAGTTTGAGGTCAGCCTGGTCTACAGAGTGAGACCCTGTCTGGAAAAAAAAAAAGCATAGAAAAAGTGAAGAAAGGGTGAGAGAGGGTGATGGATAGGATCCAGACCCCAATATTACCCTGGAGCTGCAGGTGCTGCCTCTCTCTGGGCTCTCTCTTGCTTTGGCTTCTGCTCAGGCTGGGAAACTGAAGCCCAGGAAGACAAGGCGACCCCCAGTTTAATGACTGTGACACAGGCCTGGGCATTCACCAGCTGTGTGAGCCTTTCAGGCCTTTGTTTCTCCTGTCACTGAGTCCTGGGCTTTGAAGGATGTGTAGGAGTTCGTCAGATGAAGGACAGCGGGATGAGGGCTGGGTGTCTGAATGTGTGTCCTGGCCCTTCTCACTCAGCCCTGAGGAGTCCCCTGACCCTGCCCAGCCCCTTCACTTCCTCCTTCAGCCTGGGCTCCCACAGCGCCCTCAACGGGGACCTCTCCGTGCCCAGCTCCTATGTGGGCCTCCACCTGTCCCCCCAGGTCAGCAGCTCTGTCGTGTACGGACGCTCACCCCTGGTGAGTGCTCGGGTCTCTGGGGAGGGAGAAACCTACCTCATCCAAAGAAATCAGAGTTAGCAGAGAGAGGGGCTAAGGCTGGGCGATGGAGCGCTTGCAGGCATGCATGGGGGCCTGGGTGACATTCCCAGCAACACTTAACTGGGTGTGTGGTGGGCGCCTGTCACCCCAGCACTGGGGATCAGGAGTTCAAGACCAGGTCACAGCACATAAGTCTCTGTCACGAAAATGAATGGGTGTGGGCAAGGTGGTGGAGGCAGAGGCAGGCGGATCTGTGAGTTCGAGGGCAGCCTGGCCTACAGAGCGAGTTCCAGGACAGCCAGGGCTACACAGAGAAGAGTATCTTGAAAAACCAAAAGAAAAAAAAAAAAAAAAAGGAAAAGAAAAGAAAGGGGAAACCGGAGGGCCTGGTCCCACGAGTGTGTAGGAAGATGATCCGAGTTTCACCCGGGTTAGCCGTGCTGCTCTGACAAAGTCGAAAGGAAATGGCTAGGGAGTTATTTAACAAGTCAGTAGCAAGCTCGCAAGTGTTCCTGCGTGCTTGGGGAGGGGCTGAGGGAGAGCCGGGCGTGGGGTGGGACCTGGGTGAGGGGAGCCCTGGGTCACGGCTCTGGCTTCTGGCAGATGACATTCGAGTCGCACCCTCACCTCCGAGGCTCAGCCATCTCCCTGCCTGGCATCCCCGGGGCAAAGCCGTGAGTAGAGTGGGCTGCGCCATCTCCAGGGTACGTGTGGGGCGTGGGTCCTTGTCTCCCTGGGAACACATTGGCATCTCGGGCACCTGTGCTGGGGTGGGGAGAGCCGCCCACTCGTGTCTACGGCCTCCGCAGGGCCTATTCTTTCCATGTGTCTGCGGACGGCCAGATGCAGCCGGTGCCCTTTCCGTCGGATGCCCTGGTGGGCACCGGGATCCCCCGCCACGCGCGCCAGTTGCACACGCTGACCCACGGCGAGGTGGTGTGTGCCGTCACCATCAGCGGCTCCACACAGCACGTGTACACGGGCGGCAAAGGCTGCGTGAAGGTGTGGGACGTGAGCCAGCCGGGCAGCAAGACACCCGTGGCTCAACTGGATTGCCTGGTGAGGGCGGGGCCTGCGGGGTGGGCGGGGCCTGCGGAGCCAGGGCGTGCCTGTGGCGCTGGATGGTGTTTGTGGGACTAGGCGGGGTCTGTAGGGACGGACAGGGTAGGGTCTGTAAGCTCAGGGCGGGGCCTGAGGGATGGGCGTGGTCTATAGGGCCAGGGCGGGGCTTGGGGAGACCCGGGTGGCCCCAACCCTGCCCTGGCTTGCTTCTCACTGAGGCAGAACCGCGACAACTACATACGCTCCTGCAAGCTGCTGCCTGATGGGCAGAGCCTGATCGTGGGCGGCGAAGCCAGCACCCTGTCCATCTGGGACCTGGCAGCACCCACACCTCGCATCAAGGCTGAGCTGACCTCATCTGCCCCGGCCTGCTATGCGCTGGCCGTCAGCCCCGACGCCAAGGTCTGCTTCTCCTGCTGCAGCGATGGCAACATCGTGGTCTGGGATCTGCAGAACCAGGCCATGGTCAGGTTTGTGTGGCGGCCCGGGGCGGGGCGGGGCGGGGCGGGGTGTGCGCAGGTGGACGTGGACGCCTGCCTTCCACCCACAGGCAATTCCAGGGTCACACAGACGGGGCCAGCTGCATAGACATCTCGGACTACGGGACCCGGCTGTGGACTGGGGGCTTGGACAACACTGTGCGCTGCTGGGACCTGCGTGAAGGCCGCCAGCTTCAGCAGCATGACTTCAGTTCCCAGGTGCACCCGCAATCCTGGCCTCCCTCGGGGTGCCTCTCCCTGGCGCGGGGCAGGATAGGACGCGGGGCCACTAGAACCGGCTCGGTGGGTAAAGCGTTTGACTAGCTGGCATGAGGACCTGAGTTCAAATCCTCACAATCCACATAAAAAGCCAGGTATAATGGTAACTGCCTTTAACTCCCTGGCATGTGGAGACAAGGGCACCTCCAGGGCTGGCTGGAGAGCCATGTTAGCTGAATAGGTCAGCTCCGGGTTCAGTGAGAGATCCTGCCTCAAACACAAGGCCTGGTGGCACATCTTCAATCCCAGCCCCGGGAGGTAGAGGCAGGTGGGTCTCTGTGAGTTCCAGGATGGCCAGAGCTGCATAGTGAGACCCTGTCTCAAAAACCCAAAGTAATACCACGGCAAAGAGTGACTCAATGCAGTCCCCCAATTGCTCAGAAGCAGTACTTGGGTCCCGGCTGAGCCCCGATCCCTGAACTGCCCGGAACTCAGCAGTTCCCAGTGCTTATGCTTCAGATTAGGATTAGAATGTGATGCCTGTCCATACCCCTTTTTGTCCCCATGGGAGCCGTGGGGTGCACTCCTAGGTCTCAGTGCTTTCTCTCTTGCTCTAGATTTTCTCTCTGGGCCACTGTCCCAACCAGGACTGGTTGGCCGTAGGGATGGAGAGCAGTCACGTGGAGGTCCTTCATGTCCGGAAGCCTGAGAAGTACCAGCTGCGTCTGCACGAGAGCTGCGTGCTATCACTCAAATTCGCTTCCTGTGGTACATCCCGAGAGACCCCAGGGACAGCAGAGGGAGGGTGGGGTACCCCAAAACGGCTTGTTAGAACAATTTGCCCAGGCATGTCCACGCAGCTGCTTATTGAGGTCAAGACCAGTTTAGGTAAATGTCCAGACACACAGACATTTAAAAAAAAAAAAAAAGATGGACCTTTGATCCCAGCGCTTGGAAGGCAGAGGCAGGAGGATCTCTGAGTTCAAGGCAAGTCTGGTTTACAGAGCGAGTTCCAAAACAGCCAGGGCTACACAGAGAAACTCTGTCTCAAACCAAAAAAGCTATTGAAGTCACTCCACGTTGACCTCCGACCTCCACACACCAAAGATAATTTTTCCCTGGAAGCCTGGTTTGCCTTCAAACTCGCAGCAATCTTCCTGTCTCAGACCTCCCCACCCACGGTTTCTCTGACAAAGGTAGCCAGGGTCTGGGGTTTGACTGACAGCTCTCGGCTTTTTGACATTGCAGAGTAGCAGGCTGCAGGGGGGTGAGTTTCAGCGCACTCAGGTGCAGAGCCCCTGCCATGGGAGGTCCTGGTCTCTGTCTCTATGCTGTCCTCTCTGTCCCCTCCCCAGGACGCTGGTTTGTGAGCACAGGCAAGGACAACTTGCTTAATGCCTGGAGGACACCCTACGGGGCCAGCATTTTTCAGGTACCCGCCCTTCCCAGCTGGTGACTGCCTTTGAATTCCCGATGTTTCCTTTTTGGAGCCCACACACTTTCCGTTGTGTACTGAGCGCAATGTCCCTGGGGTGCATGCTGCTGCAGCTCATGGCTGAATGACTGACCTTCCTAGAAGTGAGTGGACCTCGCTGAGTGTGTGTGGGGGTTTTCCACTGCCTCCCTCAGCAGTGCATGCCTGCTCTGAAGTATCTCGTTTTGTCATTACATAGCCCCGCCTCAGCTGCCCTGAGGTGGGATGGAGTCAGGGCTTCCTGTGTGAGCCTCTCTCTGGTCAGCCTTAGGATTCGAGAGCAGCTTCCAAGTCTCTTGGACCTGTTTTTGGACACAACATACCTGTCTTCCAAATTTCCCATCTTCCCCACCAACCACCAATCCTGAGCAGTACTGTTATGCCTTCTGAGGTGGTGATGTGGAATGCCTTTAAATCAGCCCTTGTCAGGGCTACCACTGCCCCCTTGGAACATGACAAAGGTCTGTGATCCCACTACTTGGGTGGGACAGGAGCATGGCTAGTTCGAAGCCAGCCTGGTTTGTAGAGAGACTCGGGGGAGGGGAAAGGGGGTGGCTGTGTGTGCTTCGGTGACCTCAAGCCATCTGAGTTGGGTACCATGTCTCTGAGCTGCCTATCATGCTTGCCCCCAGCTAGATGGCGCTGGCCACACCCACATCCATCAGCCTTTACTGTCCCCCAAAGCACCCCGTTTCTGGCTTGAACTTTCGTGGTGACAACCCGTGGCTGTCCTCCCTCTCCTTTCTCTAACCCAGTCCAAAGAGTCTTCCTCCGTGTTGAGCTGCGACGTCTCCAGGAATAATAAATACATCGTGACAGGCTCAGGAGACAAGAAGGCCACTGTGTATGAGGTGGTGTACTAAGCCCATCTGCCTGCATCTTCAGGTCACCTGCCTGAGGATGGCCACTTGGACACTGTCCCCTCTGCTCCTCCCCGGGTCCCTCCTCCCTGGTTGGGTGGAATTGGAGGCACTGGGGAAATATAACTATTTATGACTCTCTCCTTTTGTGTGTGTGTCAAGGGTGCAGAGGCTGGGCCAGCTGGGGGTCAGCCCCTAGTGGCCTTTACCCTAATTTTCCAAACAGTATCTTGACCTCACTGACAGGGCAGATAGGAGGACCCCTGGGTCTTGAGGACCTGACTCCACACCTACACCCAACTGAGATCACAGGTGTGCCATGGTAATCTCTTTCCTCACATGGATCTAGGGATTTGAACTCAGATGCCCAGGCTTCCCTGGCAAGCACATTACCAACTAAGTGATCTTCTTAGCTCCTCCCTAGAGGGCAAGGTCTGGCCTCTATGTAGTCCTAGCTGTTCCAGAACTTGCTCTGTAGACCAGGCTGGCCTTGAACTCAGAGATTCTCCTACCTCTGTCTCCTGAGTGCTGGGATTAAAGGTCATCAAGAAGTTGGAAGGCAATGGGCAGTCTTGGCGCACACCTTTAATCCCAGCACTTGGGAGGCAGAGGCAGGCGGATCTCCGTGAGGTCCTGGACAGCCTCCAAAGCCACAGAGAAACCCTGTCTCTGAAAAATCGGGGAAAAAAGTTGGAAGGCTCAGAGCCAGTGTCCTTCCAGAGCTTGGGTTAAAAAGGATGGAACAATATCCCTTCTTCAGAGGACAGAACAGACCATCTCTGCCTTCTCAATTGCTTTATTACATGTGATGAAGGGTTGACACACCCATGGGCCTCACACCCACCCACATCCACCACTGTGCAGTTGGGGGGAGAAGAGATGGGAACGGAAGCAGTCAGTACTTGATCTGGTACACCGAGGCACAGTCCCCAGCTCCTGTGACAACCAGCCTGTCATTGGCTGTCACATCACAGCATGTGACAGTGGCAGCCTCAGGGACCTGTGTGACAGCAACCTGAATGAGCCCATGGGACCCACCTGAGCCACCCTGTGGGGATGCCGCTGAGGGTCCCACCCTGCACGGGACTACCTGGAACAGTTTCACTCCTGTGGGCATGCTGTGGATGGTGATGAGGCTGTCCATTCCCACGCTCACCCACCACTGGCCTAGGAGGAGGTGGATGGACAGTCAGGTTACAGAAGACCCCCCACCCGCTCACTCTCATCTGGAAATGCCCGTCACCCAGCATTCAGAAGGCTGAGACAGGAGGATTGAGAGTTTGAGATGCTGAGACCCTTCCTCAAAAGAAAAAAGGCAGAATAAAGTTTTCTAGTTATGCCTTTTGTTGTATTTGATTTTAGGTTTCTCTGTGGCCTTGGAGGCTGTCCTGGAACTCTGTAGTAGACCAGGCTGGTCTCGAACCACAGATCCACCTGCCTCTGCCTCCCGAGTGCTGGGATTAAAGGCGTATGCCACCAACACCTGGCCAATTTTGGTGTTTTAATAAGTCTTTCCTAGCCAAAGCTAGACTCAAACTTCCCACATAGCCAAAGATGACCCTGAATTGCTGGCCCCTGTAGGTAGTTTATATCAACAGAAAGTGTCCAGGCCCAGTGGTGCACACACCTATATAATCCCTGCAATACGGAGGCAGAGGCAGGAGGATCTCTGATTTCCAGGCCAGCCTGGTCTACAGAGTGTTTCAGGACAGGCAGGGCTACACAGAGAAACCCCATCTTGAGAAACCAAAATAAAAGGTATTGGGGTATGATGGGGTGTCAAAGCACTGAGCGGGTATTGATTAGACAGACATTGGAACCTTCTGGAATGTCAGCGACCACAGTGCATGCTCATTCTTGAACTCCTCACCATTTGAGGAGAACTTGAGGCCTAAGATGGTCTTGTCCTTGAAGCCCACATGGAATGCCTTGCTCTCCTTGCTGTCATACAGGCAGTGCTGGCCATTGGCCAGGCCCAGCAGCAGCCAGTCTTCCAGCAGACTGTGGGACAGGCTCATGACCTGGGAGGGACAGGGCACAGGCAGAGATCAGACCCCGGCAAGGGTCCCGAACCTGTTACCTTGGCTGCTTCCCATCACAGCTCCCATGCCCCCCTCTGCTAATCGGAAGTGGACAGAGGGCCGCAAACGTCACACTGCCCTTTTAGCAGGACACTGGAGAACCTGTTTCTCTCCCTTTTTTGGTTTTATTGAGACAAGGTCTCACTCTGTAGCCTAAGCTAGCCTGTAATAACTCATACCACATAGCCCATACTGGCTTTGGACTCCAGCATAAACATTTGCATTGATAGTCTTTGAGACAAGGGCTCATGTAGCCCAGGCTATCCCTTAGGCCCTTGTGTAGCTGATGACGACTTTGAACCTCCTAGCTCCACCTCCCCTGTCCCTGGGGTGTCAGGTGTGCTGGGGCACAATGCTGGAGATGTGACCCAGCACCCCAAGAAAGCATTCTAACCGCTGAGCCTGGGCCCACTTTCCCTGTTTTTTGAGACAAGGTCTCACTATGTAGCCCAGGATAGATTCATGGTTTCATCCTCCTGCCTTAGCTTAGTATCGGAATGACAGTCTTTGCCACCATGTTCATTTATGAAAAAAGAGTGGGTTTTTTTTTGTTTCTTTTTGGTTTTTAGAGACAGGATTTCTCTGTGTAGCCCTGGCTGTCCTGGAACTCGCTCTGTAGACCAGGTTGGACTTGAACTAAGATATCTGCCTGTCTCTGCCTCCCCAATTGCTGGGATTAAAGCACCATCACCACCTGACTGACACAAGGTATTTTAAGGCACCCTGTTGCCCCAGCACTGAGTCCACCTTGTCCTCTAAACTGAAGGCACGCGTCCGCCCAGCCCCAGTCAGGTCTGTGTACCTGGGACTGGAATGTATGCTCCAGAGACACCTTGGCGGCCCGCAGGTCCCAGCAGCGCAGACAAGCATCCAGACCTCCCGTCCAGACACTGTCATTTTTGACCACGAGGCTCTTGGCCGCATTGACAGGGCCTTTGAGGTCTCTAACCAGAGATGGCAAAGGGGGTGAGCCTAGTCTTGGGGTCCACATCCCTGAGATCCCCCAGTTCTGCTACCAAGCCAACCTGCAGGTAGCCTTCTACCTTTGGCAAGAAGGGGGCAGTGACATCATTTCAGAGTCCCTGCCCCTAATGGGTAGCTGTGCTCCAAGCCAACACGAGTGTGCCGGCAATCACGGAGGCGGCCGAGGGAGGGTGACTGCCATGCATTCTAGGGCAGCCTGGTATATAGTGATAATCTGCCTCAAAAAGCAGAGGGAAGAACCAAAGATGGCCATCGTGATTCAAAACTGTCACCCCAGTTACTCAGGAGGCTGAGGTAGGAGGGTTGCAAGTTAGAGCTAGCCTGGGCTAAGGAGTGAGCTCAGTATCAGCTTTTCAAGCTTCACAAGGTCTAACCTCAGGATAAGAACAGGACTTAGCAGCATGTACCTGACAACCCAGCACTTGGGAGGCAGAGGCTAGCCTCTGTGAGTTTGAGGCTAGCCTGGTTTACAGAGTGAGTTCCAGGACAGCCTCTAAAACAATACAACCCTGTCTTGAAAACAAAACACAAGAAACAAGGACTAGGGCCGGGCGTTGGTGGCGCACGCCTTTAATCCCAGCACTTGGCAGGCGGATCTCTGTGAGTTCGAGACCAGCCTGGACTACCAAGTGAGTTCCAGGACAGCCTCCAAAGCCACAGACAAACCCTGTCTCGAAAAATCAAAAAAAAAAAAAAAAGGAAACAAGGACTAGGGTATTGTCAAGACAGAGCCCTCACCTAGAATACCCCAGTGAGGGGCTGGGGCGTGGTCAGGGTGGAGCCCCGCCCAGAAACCCCAGTGAGGGGCTGGGGGCGTGGTCAGGGTGGAGCCCCGCCCAGAAACCCCAGTGAGGGGCTGGGGGCGTGGCTCCACTCTGGTGGTGGGGGTTGGGCCAGGAAGATGCTGAGGACTCAGGACGTGCGGTCCTCAGATCGCTGCTCTTGTCCCTTTGTCGCACCTGACAACCTCCTGACTCCGCAGGTCCCAAATCCTGACGGTGCCATCTGTGAAGCCAGCAAACGCCACGTTCTCCCCCGTGCTGGCCAGAGCCTGGCAGGACAGGCCCTTGCAGGGCAGCTGGTACTTCTGGCACAGGGACGGGGCGGCCAGGTCCCACACGCTGACGCCAGGCAGGTTGTGGCCGCCCGCGTACAGGGTCCTGCTGTTGGAGGAGAGCAGGCAGGTGCGCAGGTAGGCGTCGTTGTCCTGCAGAGGACGTCCCCATTGAGCGCGGGCCCATCAGGCGGGTGGCTTCCGGACCCCGCCCCAGGCACCGTCCCTGCCAGTCACCTGGACGCCACATTGCAGGTGACTTTCGGGGAATTCATCCTCGGCCACCTGGCTCGCCAGGCTCCACACCTTGATGCCGCTCCGGCTACAGGTGAAGACGTGCCGCGTGTAGCAGCTCACCGCCACGGCCAGCAGGAGCTCCTGGTGTTTGAGCACTCGGGCCTTCTGCAGGCCTTGCGGGACAGGGCACCTCTTCGGCTGCCACAACCATGTGCCAGGCCTCTTCCAGCTGTGCTCCAAGTCCTCTTCGTCCCAGGGGCTGGGGACACGGGCTCGGTGTGAGGCGACAGGGAGCACAGGGCAGGCCTGAGACAGTTTCTCTGTGGCTTTGGAGGCTGTCCTAGAACTCGCTCTGCAGACCAGGCTGGCCTTGAACTCACAGAGATCCGCCTGCCTCTGCCTCCCGAGTGCTGGGGATAAAGGCTGTGCCACCAACGCCCGGTGTGAGATTTTTAAGACAGGGTCTTTCTTAGGTTCAGGTTAGCCTTGAACCCCCTATGTAGCCAAGGCTGGCCTTGAGTCAAGGGAACACACACACTCTTCAATTCTTGCTATAGTCACATAGCCACATATGCTTCCCCCCCCCCCCCCGTCCTTTATCTGAAATGCTTGCCCAATTACACTAAATTCCTATACTCCCTTTTCAAAGTCGACTTTCTTCAACTACAGGATCAGGAGAATCTGTGCTGAGATCTAAGCGAGAAATTCTTTCTCCAACCCTTTAAAAACGACTTCCTTTTACTTATTTAGTCGGGGTGTGTGTGGGCGAGGTCAGGATAACTTGTGGGAGTCCGTCATGCGGGTCCCAGGGATCAAACCCAGGCCCAGGCTGGTCACTAAGCACCCCTACCCTGCTGAGCCCTCCCCTCCACCACCAGTAAGGGCATGGGTGGGGAACGGAGGGGCAGGGCGGAGGTAACCCTGCTCTCTCCCTACTCACAGGGTCTTCAGGAAAGGACCAGCACGCCCAGAAGATTCCTGCGGTGCAGAGAAAGAAGCTAACCCTGCAGACTTGTGACCTCCCGGCGGGGGATCTCCCGCATCCGCATCCTGTCCCGCTCACCTGGGTCTCAGGCTGGGGCTGGCTGAGGTCTCTTTGGGAACCACGAAGATCTGAGGGAGTCTCAGTCAGGATGGTGTCTGTGGGGAGACAGCCGGGTTCAGGGGTCCCTCTGTGGCCCCGCCCCTCCGTGGCCCCGCCCCTCCGTGGCCCCGCCCCTCCTACCCAAGTCCGTCAGGCTGCTCCTGCGCCTGCGCTGAGGCTCCTGCTCTAATTCAGAGTCATTCTGGCCAGAGTCTTTCCTTCCCTGGGAGACAGAACTGTGTCGGCAGAGAGGCCCGGCAGACACCAGGACTTCCAGGCTGGGGCCAGGATCCCCCTGAGAGCGCAGGGCTGAGGTGGGAGGGGATGGGAGGGGATACTGGGTGGAGGTTCCCAGCCAAGGGTACTCACCAATCCCAGCGGCTTCTCTGTCACCGTGACAACAGGCAAGGAGGAGAGAGATGGAGAGCAATGAGGTTTGCCCGACACCCAAGGCGCCCCCACCCTGCGAGTGAGGAGCCTCACCCTTCTGTCCTTCTTGGTTCTTCGTGTAAAGTTTCCAGAGTTCCCAGGTCAGGGTGTCTCTCCAGAACAGGGGATCCTTGTCCCACACGGGCTGTGGGTCCTGCTGCTCCTCGGCCTTGGCCTCTGAGAAGCACCGGGGTCTGCTGGATGGCGGAGGTCCCGGGGTGGCTCTGAGTCTGGGGTCCTGGGGGGACATAGCCTCTGGGCCCCGCTGGGCTCTCTTCTCAGCTGAGACCTGGGCAGCCTGGATGGAGCCCGTGGGGCTCGTGAATAACACGACGACACTGCCCACCGGAGCCTGTCCCCTGTAGCTCCAGGGCGGATACTCACCTTAACCATCTGCAGGATGGTCGGGGACCTGCTGAAGATTTCCATCAGCCCGAGGAAGTTCTCCACCTAGAACAAGTCAGGGACGGACCTTGCTGTAGGCACCGACCGTGCAGTAGGGAGCTTGTGGCAATGCTCAGCTGTTGGCAAGCGGTGGTGCACCTGTCCACCCTTCCCCGCAAAGGCTGAGGCAGGAGGATCATCCTTAGCCACATACTGAGTTTGAGATCCTGTTTCAAAACAAACTTCAACCAAAAAAGCAATTAACTGCACAAATAGGGCTCAGGTTGGATCCCATGATTACCAAGGCCTTAGTGTTATTTTGCAAATAAGGAAACTGAGCCCCGGAGACTCAAACAGTAGCCATGGGTTGTGGGTTTTTCAAACTTTATTATTGTTTATTATTATTAAACTTTATTATTATTATTTGCAGCTTGCTCCTCCCCCTTTGAGTTTTTGTGGACACCCCCTTTCCCATGGAGGGCGGGACCCAGGGAGCTGCCTCCCAGGGAGATGATGGATTCCTGGGCAGCGCCAGCCCGGGCTGCACAAAGCCCAGGGGAGCCCTCCTGGTCCCCCCTGGCTCATTAATGCGCAATTTACTGGCACTTTAGTGAGCCTGGCGTCAGTGTGAATGGAGGCAGAGCTGCAGCTCCTTCCAGCTGCTCCCGGGGGAGGGGTGTGTGTTGCAGGGACCAGAGAGTGGGGGCGGTTACAGCAAGGGGGATGGGTAAGCCAGAAGCTGTTAGGAATAAAGACTGGGTTGGGACCGCAGGTAGCAGGTTCCCGGTCCCAAGGCGGGTGATGGAGAGCGGGAGGATGGGGAAACAGACCTGTAGGCAGACGTGACTCGCATTTATTGACAGGGAGGTAAGAAAATAAGGTATAGAGAGACAGAGAGAAGACAGGAGAAGAGGGAGACAGGAAAGTCCCGTCTGCCCCAGAGGACCAGCTGGAAAGACAGCGTAGGTGGGCAGGGGTCTTTCTGTGTGCAGAAACCATGGACCCCTGGGCTGACCAGGGTATTATTGGCTGAGTGCATTCTGCCAGGTGACAGGGGCAGAGTGCCTGAGTCCTTATAGTACCTGCAGGAAGCTGCCTGGGATATCACAATCTGCTTGTAGTGGCCATCCCACGCACCTGTCAATCATCCCCCCCCATGGCTAGAGCCCAGCCCCCTTACTCGCCCTTCCCTCTTGCACCTGAGGCCAGATTAGTTCTCTCCAACTACAGCTCTTCAAGAGCTCCTACTGCTCACCGGGTGGAGTTAAGGCCCATAACTTCCTGGCAGCCCCCAAGCTCTGCCCGCCACCCCCTCCTTCCTGCTGCTCCCACACCGGGCTGTTCCTCCTCCTGCCTGGACACTGTCCGTCTCCCAAACAAGAGCATCCCTTCTGCCCCTGTGGACCTACTCAGTGCATCTTCCTGACCACCGAGCCCTGCCAGGAGCTCTTGGCATCCACCCACCGCCTCCTGCGGTCCCCAGGCCTAGCTCTTTCCCTGGCACCCTGCGAATGGCGGCTGTTGAGGCTACGGACCATCGTGAATGAACAATCATGTTCTGGTGGCTTCCTGCCCACCCACCCCCTACCCCCGCCCCTCACTGAGCTGCAGTCCTGGCCCTGGCTCCATGCCAGTGACATCTGGCCCTGAGCAGCGGCTCCTTCCTGCCAGTGCCTTTGAGAAGGGGCCAGGTGGCAGGAGGGAAGGCGGATGAGGACACACGTGCCTTGGCTTGGGCAGGGGGTGGGGTGGGGGAGAAGAGCCCGGCACCCCTCCGAAGGAAGGCCTGTCTCCCCCTCATGCATGGGACCTGTGTGCAGCCCTTACCCAGGAGCTCCAGGGCACCTGGCACCTGGGCAGGAAGGATGGGCCACAGCTGGACCTGAGAACTCTATAAATAACCAGCTCCCTCATGCCTCCCTGGAATCAAAGACCCCATCTTCCCTATCTCCACCCCTCCCCTGGGAGAGAAGATGTCCCCAACTCACATGCTTGTGATGCTCTTCGAAGGACTGATTGACCTTGGACACCTGAAATCACAGCAGAGGAGGAGTGGCCTGTGGCCCTGAGCACTTCCTTCCCCTCCCTGATCCTAACAGAGGCTCCTAGAGCCCAGCCTGGCTTTGAACTCACCATAGCAGAGGCACATTCTTCAGCCTCCGCCTCCCCATTCTGGGATGACAGGTGTGCACCCTTCACCTCTACTTTTAAATGAAATGCTTTTAAATAAACTACTACTTACTATATTGTTTTCAACGGGAAATCACGTGCAACCTTTTTTTTTTTTTTTGCAGCTGTCAAGGCCCTCCCTCTCTTCGGGCAGCCTCCCTGCTGCCCGCCGCCCCCTCCTGTCACAGCGATGCCCTCTGCTGTCTGCCCCCGGGGTGACTTACCAGGCTGGAGATGTTGTCTAGCTGGACCATCATCTCTGAGAGGGTGCTGAGGGGAGAGAAAGATGCTGAGGGTCTACCGTACGGCAGAGCCCACAGGGGTGAGTCTCCTACTCTACAAATGGGGGGAGACGCCGTCCAGAACTCAAGTCTGACACCGGGCTTTGCGCCCCCAAACAGGCGCCCTGCCGCTGCTTATTTGGAGACAGGCTTTGGTGGCGGCCTGGAACTCATGGCTCCCAAAATCAACCCCGTGGGTGGCGGAGGACACCTCTCGTTTCCACCGCATGGCCGCTTCTCTGGGGACGGCCGGTGTGGAGCCCCAGGGAGCCTCACCTGTTGAGCCCCTCCGGCAGCTGTTCAATGATGGAGGAGTACCTCTTCGAGTAGCTGGAAGGCTGGAACGGTCAGAGGTCAGAACCAAAAAGCACGCAGCACCCCCAACTCCCAGACTCCCAACCCCGAGGTGCCCAGTCAGGTTCTCAAAGTCCCTGAACTCCCGGGGTATGGACTGGCCATGCAGGAGGCATGGTAGAACCTTCTAGATCTAGACCCCGGTTCTCAGCCTTCCCGACGCTGCGACCCTTTAGTACAGCACTCCTCATGCTGTGGTTTCCCCCAGCACAGAACTACTTCAGTACTAACTTTGCTGCTGTTAGGAAGCATAATGAAAACAGCTGATATTCGGGATGCCGGACATACGCCCCCAAGGGGGTAGCGAACCGCATGTTAACCTCTACCCTGGAGTCAGGCCAGTCCCGTGCAGACCTGTGCTCAGCGTGCCCGGGGCCTTTGGGGAGGGGAGGAGGGAACATCAGCCTATTTCGGGTGTGATTTCGAGACTGGGCCTGCTACTGACGCTGCCTGCCTCTGCCTCCCAAGCGCTGGGATCAAAGGCCGCCTTTAATCACCGTCCAGGGTTCACAGATGGGGGTGAGCAGCAGCAGCGTGGAAGGCGGGGCTCCACCCAACCGCGCCCCCAGCCCCTCCCTGGCGGGTTTTAGGCGGGGCTCACCCTGCACCCGGGCCAGGTGAAGCCCAGTGTAATCACCCGAGTTGCTTTCACCTGCACCCTGGGGTCGCAGGTGCCCGCGGGGCTGCCTGCTAGCTAGGTCTGCAGGTTACGAGCTCCAGGCCAGGCTGGGACACAGTCTCCAAACCCTCCGACAACCCGGCGTGAGGAGAGGAAGGCGACTGCGCCCCTCATCACCTCTCTCACCAAAATCCCACCGGCGGCGCCACTGCTCTGACTGTTGGAAGCCATCTAGAAGATTCTGGAAGTCACGGTCTGGCGCGTCCTGCTGGGAGCATGTTCAGGGCTAGACAGGAAAGCGACCCCCATCTATTCCCGCAGTGTCCTCACCGTCAGGGCCCAGCTGCCCAGAAGACCCCCTCCCCGCCCCCGTCTACACCGCAGGGGCGACGGTCCCAGCCCCCAGCCGAGCACGAGGGCTCATCCCTCCCGACACCGAGCTCTGGGAGCAGCCAGGGCTGCGAGGGACGAGGACGAGTTAGCCAGGCACGGTGATTAGGCGCATGTGCAGCACACACACGGAGCACACAGGCAAAGCGCTTAAGAACTAGGAGACGAGAGAGACGACGTTGGTCCCCACCGCTCAGTAGTTTGTGCGGGTCAAGGCCCCTCCGGCCTCTCCGTCCCCACCGCACGGCGCAAACTGCCTGCCGCAAGCCAGCTGCCCACGCGCTACCTCAGTAGACAGGGCCCGGGATCCCAGGGAAGCCGCGGAGGTCAGGCCAGGAGGACGCCCCTGCTGCGGCCCCGGGCCATTTGACCCCTCCGCCCCGCCCACGCCCCGCCCACGCCCCGCCCTCTGAGGGGAGCCCCGCAGGCTCGCGCCCGTGCACGTGGGTTCGCAGCGGCTGCGCCGCCCCTGCGGGCGCCGGCCAATCAGGAAACCGCCAGCCCACGTGGGTCGCAGGCCGGGGCTGCGGTTGCTCAGTCTGTGGCTCAGCTGTCAATCACCGAGTGCAGGCTCTACCCGCGCTGTCCCGCGGTGTGGGAGCCCAGGGACTTGGGAGTGTTGGAGATGGGGGGCTCTGAGCATCCGCGCCTGCAGAGGCCGGCGCGCGGGGACTGCGGCCAAGCCCTCATGCTCTGAGTTCGAGCCCTGGGACCCTCAGGATAGAAGGCAACTGTACGCGTGTGCACACACACACACACACACCATACACACACACCACACACACACCATACACACACACCACACACACCATACATATACACCACACACCATACACACACCATACACATCACACATACACACACCATACACACACACCACACACACCATACACACATATACCATACACACACACCACACACACATACACCACACACATACACACACCACACACACATACACCACATACACACACACCATACACACATACCACACACATACACACACCACACACCACACACACACACACCACACACACGCACCATACACACATACACCACACACACACCATACACACACACCACACACATACACACACCACACACCACACACACACACCACACACCACACACACACACACACCACACACACACACCACACACACACCACACACACACACCATACACACATACCACACACACACACACCACACACACCACACACACACACACCACACACACACACCACACACACACACCACACATACACCACACACACACACACACCACACACACACACACCACACACACACCATACACACATATCACACACACACCACACACACACACACCACACACACCACACACACACACCACACACACACACACCACACACACATATCACACACACACCACACACACACACCACACACACACCACACACACACACACCACACATACACCACACACACACACACCACACACACACACCACACACACACCACACACACCACACACACACACACCACACACCACACACACACACACACCACACACACACACCACACACACACCACACACACCACACACACACACCACACACACACACACCACACACATATCACACACACACACACACACCACACACACATATCACACACACACCACACACACACACCACACACACACCACACACACACACACACCACACACACACCACACATACACCACACACACACACACCACACACACACACCACACACACACCACACACACCACACACACACACCACACACCACACACACACACACACCACACACACACACCACACACACACCACACACACCACACACACACACCACACACACACACACCACACACATATCACACACACACACACACCACACACACACCACACACCACACACACACCACACACACACCACACACACACACACCACACATACACCACACACACACACCACACACACACACCACACACACACCACACACACACCACACACACACACCACACACACACACCACACACACACACACCACACACACACACCACGCACCGAACACTGTTCCTTTGACTCTGGCTGCTGGAGAGACAGTGCACAGCTGAGGGCACAGACTGCTCTTCGTGGACCCTGGTTGACTCCTAGCACGCGGGTGGCTCACAGGGCTCTGGAACCCTGTTCCCGGGATCCAAAGATCTCCTCTGGCCTATGGTGCACACACATACACGCAGGCAAAACATCCGTACACATAAATCAAAATGCAAAAAGATGAATTCAGAGCCGGGCAGTGGCGGCGCACGCCTTTAATCCCAGCACTTGGGAGGCAGAGGCAGGCGGAGCTCTGTGAGTTCGAGACCAGCCTGGTCTACAGAGCGAGTTCCAGGACAGCCTCCAAAGCCACACGAGAAACCCTGTCTCGAAAAACTAAACAAACAAACCCAATAAATAAAAATAAAATTAAAAAAAACCTGGGTGCCCTATGAAGTAACACTGACCTGCTGTGTGGACAGGGTAGCCTGGGCTACATGAGACCCTGTCTCAACAGAGAAAGAAAGGAAAGGCTTTGGGCACAAAGCCATACCCTCAAGGGAACTAGGGCCACGCGCTGGGCTCAGGGGCCTCAGGCCTCTGCCCCTGACTCCTGGCCCGACGAGGACCCTGGGGGAGCTGAGGGCTGGCGTGGACTCTGCGGACCTCCTTCCCCCACCCCCACGCCTCTCCAGCGCTGTGAGGGCTGTGAAATGAAGGCACGCAGGGAGGTGACCGTGAGTTTGGGGCCAGCCTGGGCTCCATAGCACGAGGTCTAAAACAGAGAGGGGGCTGTGAGAAGGCTCAAGGGTGAGGGCGACTGCTGCCAAGCATGACGGCCTGAGTTCGATCCCTGGGCCCCACAGAGCAGAAGGCAAGGATGCATTCTCATTCTGCGGTGGGGCCTCTAACCCACCTCCCACCCCTGCACGCAGGGATAAAAAATCGGAACTCAATTAGGCCTGGGTCACAGTAACTTCCGCTTCGTAGAGAATTAGGGACTATGCCTGTGTGGCATGTGCCTGGTGCCCTTGGAAGCCAGAAGAGGGTGTGGATACCCTGTAACTGCCGGGACTCGAACTCGGGCCCTCTGCACAAGCAGCTGGTGCTGGTAATCGCTGAGCTAGCTCTCCCGCCCGGTCCCGATCCTGCTCAGGGCTTTTGCACGTGCTAGGCCGTCCTAAGGCCACCGCAGCAGGGCAGGGCCGCAGCATCTCCATCCCAGCGGCTGCCGCTCCGCCGCAACGGTGAGGGGAAGCGGGGTCTGGCGCGCCATCTGGCGGTCGCGCCTGTTATGACACCTTGACAATCTGACCGAGATGGCGTCATCACTTTGTCATCTTCTGTAAAAACAGTCACTGTGCCAGCGCCGACGCCGTCCGTGTCTGGGAAAGTGTCACCTCCTTTGTGTGCGTGGGGGCCACACTCTCAATCCCAGCACTCGGGAGGCAGAGCCAGCAGGATCTCTGTGAGTGTAGGTCCAGCCTGAGCCCCAGAACGAACACCAAGTAATAAATGCAAATAAACAGTAAAAAAGTAAAATAATAAATAATAGCCCGGCGGTGGTGGCGCAGCCTTTAATCCCAGCACTCAGGAGGCAGAGGCAGGCAGATCTCTGTGAGTTCGAGGCCAGCCTGGTCTACAGAGAGACTGCCAGGACAGCCTCCAAAGCCAAAATCATCATCATCATCATCATCATAAATAATAATAAATGCCAGCACTCGGGAGGCAGAGACAGGCAGACCTATGAGTTCGAGGCCAGCCTAGTCTACAGAGAGAAAAACTGTTTCAGAAAACAAACTAATAGTAATTATATTTTTTGTTACTTTTCAAAAGAGGGTTTCTCTGTGTGGCCCTGGCTGTCTGGCACTCGTTCTGTAGACCAGGCTGGCCTCGAACTCACAGAGATCTGTCCCAAGTGTTGGGACCAAAGGTGTGCATCACCACTGCCCAGCATTAATAACAAATTTTTTAAAAAGCCCCTCTTGTCTTCTTTTTCAGTCCTAGAGAGCCAGGGTGTTGTATATGTTGTTCATTGCATTTAATTGTTTTATTTACTTTATGCTGGTTTTAATACTGATCTTGTCGGTTTTAATGTGTTTCTGCTTGGTGGGCTGTGCGTGTGAGCGCAGCTTTCTCGGAAGGCAGAAGAGGGCGTTGGAGACCGTGCAGCCGATGTCGCTGCTCTGGGTCCCCTGAGGCCGGAAGTGCTCCTGAGTGCGGCCCGTGTGTCCAGGACCACGCACAGCTTCCTCTGCTTACCTCCTACGCCATGGCTTTTTTTATTTCACTCGCTGGCTTCAGTTTCCAGTGCTATTGAACCTTCATTGTTCTTTCCCATGCGTTTCCTTAAAATCGCATTACTAGCTGCGGTCTGAGGGCTCTCTGCGTCGGCTGCCACACGCACCGCACACACCCACAGAAACACACACACCGCCACACACCGACTGCACACATACACACGCTGCACACACAGAAACACAGACTGCACACATATACACCTCACACTCACACACCATACACAACACACTGCGCACACACACCACACACACACCGCACACCCTTGAGACACAGGCACGCGCTATGGGCGTCCCGGGGTCATCGCCGTCCTCTTGGGTCGAGCTCAAGGCGCACGGGCGCCATCTGCTGGCCAGAGCCGGAGCCGAGGGCTGCAGGACCGAAGAAAGGGGCTGGGGTGAGGGGCGGGGCTGTGTGTGTGTGTGTGTGCGGTGTGTCTGTGTGTGGTGTGTACGGTGTGTGTGCGGTGTGTATGGTGTGGACGCTACAACCACTGCGCGCCTCTCCAGTCCTCTGTGTTCAGCGTGTGACCGTCAGAGTGGAGACCGCGGGATCGAACCCGCGTCCCCGGGCTTGACCGCAGGCCTCCCCACGCCGCCCCTGCGAGCGTGAGCGTGAGCGTGAATGCCTAGAGTGGGGACCGCAGCATCCGGGAACCCAGAAAGGACTCTCTGGGCCGGATTCGGCTCGTAACCACGCCCTGGGGCGGAGCCAAAGCGAACCCCGCCCACCCTGCCATTTTACTTCAGATGGGCCTCTGACAGCGTCCGCAGCCAATCGCAGTGGAGCAGAGGCGGGCGCTGGCGGCTCGGGAGCGGCCATTGGAGGACTGACGGTCCCGCCTTCAGTAGTTCACCAATCACATACTCGGTGCACCCTCTGCTTCCTGTGCTGGGAATGCAACCGGAAGTTCTTTGGCGCAGTTCCGGAAGTCGACTGGAACCGGGACAGGATGCTGACAATGGCCGGAATTGGAGGTTGGGTCCGGAAACGGAAATGCGTTGCTTCCCGGGTTGGTTTCCGT